GACATTGTTAGGCCGATCCGAACTATAATTGCCGGTTGAAATTTGTTTTGACTAAGAAAAAGTCAAACGGTTTAAAATCCAAATCGGACCAAGATTTACCTTATGCACTCAAGTTTGAATCCATTCTCTCACTATTTTTTGATAAAAAATGAAAAGAAAATACTCACTAAAGGCACTTGAAAATCATCTCTAACCATCACATATTTTCTTTCACAAGTCAAGTCAGTACCCTACTTGCAAAGTTCATGGATGACATGTAAGCCAGCATCTTTGCCTAGCTTCTACCCTACTAATTAGCCTCAACACATGATCGATCACTAGTGCAAACCTAGCTAGTTTTGAACTCCCAAAAGAACATTTCCTTTTCCATTTCATGTTCTTTTTTTCTTTTTTTTTGGGTGATCAAGGGCCATACGAACATTCTTCACTTCTCTATAGCATTCTAACAAATTAAATTTAGGCAGTCATCTCAACAAACACACACAGATAAAGACATTTGAATATCCAAAAGAGTAGAGCCTATGATTTATTGAACATCAGAATGAGCAGTAACTTGGTGTTGCATTTAGGTCCGTAGGCTCCTCTCCAAACAGTAATCTTAGAATGTGCTGTCATCATTTCACAGATCGCAGACGAGAGAGAGAGCTGACCCACCCACTGATTGCTTTTGCTCTTCTTTCTCAGACAAACAAAGGGTAAATTCTCGATAACTGCGTGAATCAGTAAAAGAACCGTTTTTTTACCGCGACCAGTTACCGCGTCTTGTCGATATCATAGGCTAGTAGATTCTTCTCTCGCACGTGAGTTGCAGAGTTTCACAGAGGTAACGTTTGTTGGTTAATTATACAGTGTTTTCTTGTGTGAGTGGATATAGCGCGCGCAAAGCAAGCCCACTAGCTTCAGTTAAAATTGTCACGGACAGGAGCGATTGCATAAAAGAAGTCAAGCAAACACCCAAGGAAAAGACAAAAAAAGAATGGAAAAGTCAACGCGTTCAGGCCAAAAAGAATAGAAAGAAAGATTGTTGATGATATCTCAAAATTCAAAATGATGATCATTTAACAGAAAATTAGTTGAGTTTAGGACATGTGAATTAATTGGACGACGGTTATCATGAACAAAAAAGCAAAACGGTTGTTTCGAACAAGAGAAAAAGGAAAAGAAGGTTAGTTAATATACGGTAGCCACAAGTAAGGCCAACAATGGACCCCATTCAACAATGGAGAATTCTATTTTACCCAGCACTCCTGCATCACATTGGTTCAACAATGGTCCCCCTACCGATTGAGATCTTGCATCCACCAAGCTCTTAGTCTTTGCGAATCTACTGACTTCTTCCCTAACTTATCTTTTGGGAAAAAGCTAGACAACATTCAAACATTCAATGAAGAAGAAAAAAAGAGAGAATAGCATTAATTCAACAACTTCAAAATAACGTATTCTTTGGTTTGCCAAGAACCAACGCCGCCAGCCTACTATACGACTTAAATAGGGATATACATTAGCCGCCCCATATATATATTTAGAACTAGGGGTGGCAATTTTCGATACGACCTATTATATGACTCTAAATTCACACAGAAAATTAACAAGTCAACCTGACATCAGTGGCAAATCCAAGTTTTTTTTTTTTTCAGAAGAGGGGCAATTTTAAAAGGCTACCCGAATTATTTGAAGGACGATTTGAACTACCGGAATTATTCAAATGAAGATTTAGATATTTTCTCACCATTTCATTGTTTAGTTTCTCTGTTGGGCGTTAGACCTGTTTCTTCACCAAAAACAATACCGTTCCATAATTGTATAATTGAAATAAATAAGGGTCTTAGGTCTTCCATAATTATTAGTCTACCAAAAGTCATATTAAATCATGAATTAATTTTACGAAAATCAGTATCACTTAATCTATATCTAAGTATCAATTTAATAAACAAATCAAAATGTATACCTCAAGTTGTGCGTTGTGCAGCCTCTTCGAGTTTTCTATTGACTAAACGAATATATAGAGAGCCAAATCAGCAAAAAAAAAAAGAAATATAAAATATATTATAAAAAAGAAAAGAACAGAAAAACTGAAGATTAAAAAAAAAAACCTAGAAGAAAACAAAACCATAAGAAAAGATTTTAAAAATAATAATAATAATAAGAAGCAAAGTGGCTTGAGTTCACCTTATGCGTCTACAGCAAGCAAAGAGAAATCTTCCAGTTTCAAGAAAAGCAATTCAACTCAAGGATTAAATCCTCTCCGCGGCTGAACTTGGAACGCTATTGTATTCATATACGGATTAATTTGCTTTTGATTGCAGGTTTTGTGGCGTGGCGTGGAGTAAAGACTAAGGCTTCTTTTTTGTTTTCTTGTGATTGCAGCCAAATATAAGACATTGCTGAGGCATTCTCTCAAACAAGGGGTGGGCACCTTCAACACGGATCAAAGAGGCAAACCCAGCCACGACACATTGCTATCCCTAGTTAGAGCCTTGTTAACGTATTAGTACTCCAAATAGTATGATGCATTATTACCAAGGATGAAAATAGCAGCCAATATATCCCTTTTCTAAGGTGTCGATACTATGAACAGATACCGGGGGGTAAGCTTATTTCTTCCCCATTATTGGCGATATATCCTCGATAACCCCCGATATCCTTGATATATTTACCGATATTTCCCAATACCAGACAAATAACCCAGAAATTTGTCTTCAATTTTGAAAGTAATCATAGGTCCCAGCCACTGAATCAATGTCAAAAACCAAGCTCTAATACTTAGTAGCTTCTCCTTTCTTCTCTCCTCAGTCATTTCGGCTATTTTGGCTCTTCCTCTCCTCTCTCTGATTGCTCGGTTTCTTGTTTGTTTGATTGTATTTTTCACCTAATCCTCTATCTCTCATTTTTATCATTAAGTCTAACTCTTGTAATATAATGTTGGGTTATGTATTAATCGGTTGGGTTGGGTTATGTTTGAATAATGTTGTCTTTGTTGTGTTAAGTCTAATTGTATTTATTTTAAGGATTTTCATTGCACATTATATACACGCATATTACATCATATGCATATCTTATACTTCATAGATTTTGAATTTTATTTGTTCAATACATTCATTGATAATGTTCTTAATATCTATGAAAGTTTCACTTCAAAATTCTGTGCTTTTAAGCCAATATGTCTTTTTGTCGATTTTCCCCGATACTAAAAAGACATCGATATATCCTCGAAATATCTGTAAATTGAAGGCCCGATAATATCTGTATCGCCGATATTTTCATCCTTGATTATTACTTTTTTTTATTTTTATTTTTTCATTAAGAAGAGTGCAAAGTGACTATTTTGAAGTGCCATTAACTGCTTCTTATAATTACATACCTACATAGTCAACGGGTTCTGGCCTAGTGGAAAAGAGCATTGACTTACAGACTAGTGGTCTCATATTCAAACCCCTTGACACCTTGCCCCCTCCCCCTCTTGCTTCGTAGTTTAGACTATCGCTTGTAATAAAAACAAAATTAATACCTACGCAACCGTATGCACCAATCCGAACTAGAAATTCAAAAGTTCCAATATATCATTACTAATTGGAATTAAAACAGGACAGTCCTTCTCCTTAACGTGTTGAACTTGAAGCAATGCTAATTTATCAGTCAAGACAATGAAGTGTAAATTCATATAATCATTCAACGTAAGGAATGGTTCATTGTGAAAGTTTGACTTTTGTCAAATTGTTGTTTCTATATAATATGTAATGTACCTGAGGTCCTTTTCATTCATTTCTCATTGAGAGATTGAAAAATTGAAAGATATGGCGATTGTAAGGAATGATGGTGATCAAAATAGAGTTCGCATTCAAGCATCCAATGGTTTATTTCTGCAGGTGATTGTTTCCTCTAGTAGCATTGAGCACCAAAGTTCAATTTATTTGTCACATATATACATATGAAAAGGAAAAGTGACCAACAAGTCCCTCTCATGAAAATCATACTTTTCGTTGTAATTAGGCAACATCAGAGACACAATTGACTGCAGATTATGGAGGCTCAGGTTGGGAAGATGATAATCCATCTGTCTTCATAATGACAATATTAAGTGACAAGACCTTAAGAGGTGAATACCAACTCACAAATGGTTATGGTCCAGATAAGGCTCCTCAAGTCCTGCAGGTAAGATTCATATGATTTTCAACAAGAAAAAACAAAACAATATTGGTTTCATGGTGCAAATCAGAAGTAATCAAATTGAATTTATGCTTAACAGGATCACTGGAACAGTTACATCACTGAAGACGATTTCAGGTTCTTATCATTGAACGGCTTGAATGCAGTGAGGATCCCAGTTGGATGGTGGATTGCAAAAGATCCAACACCACCTAAGCCTTTTGTTGGAGGCTCCTTGCAAGCCCTGGACAATGCTTTCACATGGGCACAGTAAGAGTAGTTGCAAGTTGCAACTTGTTATAAAGTTATGTTACACATAAAACAGAGAGAGAAAAATTACTTTTGCTTTGCAGAGAGAAAAATTACTTCAAATTGGTATTATTGCTGTTTCACTGTCTCTGAACACAACATGTATGCAGAAACAATGGGCTGAAGGTAATTGTAGATCTTCATGCAGTTGAAGGGTCCCAAAACGGCAATGACCACAGTGCAACTAGAGATGGCTACCAGGAATGGGGAGATTCCAACATACAAGACACTGTGGCAGTCATAGATTTCTTAGCATCAAGGTTTGAAACTTAACAAACATTCAATTCTTTACTAAACAAATATAAGATTAACCTCACCCACTTATGTTTATGGAATTTACTTATTTTGCTAACCACTCATAGTGGGCGGTGTGCCCTACTAACCCGAGGGCTTAGGGTGCGCTTAGTCTCCGTCACACAACAATCATTTTAATTCCCTACTTTATTACAAGCCCACACACACTACAAGACTTGGCTTATAGAATTACATAGAACTGATACCAACTTAACAACTAATCTGACACTTTTTTTCTGAGCAGATATGCTAATCATCCAGCTCTTGCAGCAGTTGAGTTAATGAATGAGCCTATGGCACCTGGTGTCAATCTAGACAGCCTCAAAAATTATTACAAAGCTGGTTATGAAGCTGTACGGAAGCACACTTCAAGCGCTTATGTGATCTTATCAAACAGATTGGGACCTGCAGATGCAAAGGAGCTTCTCTCATTTGCCGGAGGCCTCGATCGCGTAGCCATAGACGTGCATTTCTATAGCCTGTACTCGGACATGTTCAACAGCTTCAGTGTGCAACAAAATGTGGATTTCATCTACAACCAACGAGCTTCTGATCTCGATGCTGTGACCACTTCCAATGGACCCCTCACTTTTGTTGGTAAGTCACTACTCACTATTAATTAAGAAATTAGTAAATAATTAATTGGTCTTGAGCATCACTACCATTATTTTTATTTCATTATTGAAGGAATGCTAACTACCTTCCCCTCTTACCTTCTTATAAAAAGTACGTTGCAAATCCATTAAATATTTATTGGTAAGTCACTACTCACTATTAATCCTTACACCATTACGGGAAATAAAAATACCTATTTTAGATTTGTAGTCCATAGACAAAGATTTCAAATGACGGATAAAAGGTTCGATGCATAAAAGAAATAAAAAAAGGGGATACAATCTCCTTGTATAATGCCTCTAATGACATGTAAGCCTCTTCATGAACATTTTCTCACTAACATTAATCTTGCGCAATTTGTATTCATTGTGATTTCCATATCATTCAAATTAAAACATGTTATTATCAGTGTATGGTAGGTTTTGATGAGAATATATTGCACAGGAGAATGGGTTGCAGAATGGGCGATAAATGGAGCGTCAATAGAAGACTACCAGAGATTTGCAAAAGCCCAAATAGATGTTTATGGGCGTGCTACTTTTGGATGGGCATATTGGGCTTACAAGTGTCAATACAATCACTGGGATCTTAAGTGGATGATCGAAAATAACTACATAAAACTCAATTAGATCAGTCATATTCTAATTGTAACATAAACAAGAGAGCTGTTATTGGCACTCTAAAGGGATGAGCGCGTGATGACTTTTTGGAATGCCAATAACAGTTTCCTATAAAAATAAACAAACGAATAAGCTTGTAACTATGCTTGATGTGCACTTAAGTGCTAACAATCCAAGCATCCTTGTACTGGAACTCAAAATAATTGCCCCTTTTGGCTCCTAATAACAAAAAAAAAAAATTATTGTTTTTTTTTATTTGAAAAAATATTTGTTTTTGCAATTTTACCAATTCAACTCTTGGATATGTTCGAATGTAAAATTTCATGCAGCCCTGTTACACTTGAATCATACTCATTCCTGGATACAATTGTTGTTGTTGTTTTTTTCAATATGACTAAATAAATGCTAAGTAACAAAAATCCTAAATAAATAAGGAACCAAATTTCGAACTAAATAAGGACTCGCCAACAAGAAAATCATAGCAGAGGATACGACTGTAATAATATCAAGTAAGCTTTTATTTATTGACTATTTTTCAAGTTATGGAGCGAATGATTTTTTTATAGTACAATTCCTATTGAGATGAGCGATAACATACTAAACGTTTAAACGAGTAATCAATTGAATAATTTTTTGATGTGATTATAACATTGTCCTGTCACATAAGCTTATTTACAAGTAATGGAACAAAGACTTGTATTATTTTTCACATTTTGGTTGTGGATCCTGGCAATCCGATGCATTTGTAATGAAACTTTTTTTGTGAATAAAATGTCTTCTCCAACAAAAAGAAAAGTCATCGAGTATTTTCATGGATTGTGAAAAACGACGCCATTTTTTCCGTTTATTTTTCTTTTCGTAAATGCTCATTGAAGTAGGACCTTGTATTCTGAAACGACGCCATTTCACTGGGAACAGCCCCGGGTCTTCTTCCCCAAACTAGAACCAAAATACAATTCTCTCGAGGTCGCCAAAAATGGCGGCCACCAAGCACAAGGCTCCCGCGCGGAGCTTGGAGAAAATGAACTCAAGGGTTCGGCTCTTTTCTCTTCTACTCACTGTGCAATACGGAGCTCAGCTCCTGATCTCCAAACGATGCACCAGGTACTTCAACGCGTTGATCCTTCAAATTTGTATAAGAAAATCATCAATTATAGAGCATATTGTCTAAAATTTGAATGTATTTTATGTGATTGGTACTTACAGAAGAGAAGTGATGTAACGTCGTCTGTTCTGACATGCGAGATAGCCAAGGATGTATGTGCCCAGTGGCGAAGCCACAGTGGGGTCGCACGACCTCTTGGAAGCCATGGAAATAAGCTTAGATGTCCCTTGGAGCCGCTGGTGCGACCTCTTGGAGCTACACACCAAGTGCTCGACGAATTGACTGAAGAAGAAGGCTGTGCGCGCAGCACAGCGCGCGGGTGTTTTTTTTTAAAAAAGAACATGGGCAAAACGACGTCGTTTTGGCGTAGGGAAAATTATTTTAAATGACCTGTGCAAAACGACGTCGTTTTGGGCCAGGTATGAAATATTAAAAAAAAAATGAAAATGCCCAGCATATCCTTCCATCTCCAGCACCGATACCTTCATTCTAAAACCCCCAAATTTTTTTGTTTTCTCCTCCAGCCCTAAGTTCCCAACTCAATTTCCCCCTCCCCCAAACCCTCAACTCCATCTCCTCCCTTGCTACCGCCGTTGGGGTGCCGCTTCTGCCGTCGTCGTTGCCATGTGGTGGTGCCACTTCTGCCGTCAAGTAAGTTCTAAACCCTATGTATGATATATTTAATTTAATTGAAACCCAATTCATATTTATTTTGATTATATTGGTGGTTTGATTATATTGTGAGATTGTGAGTTTTTATTTTCATTATTTTGTATATGTAGAATATATTTAATTTAATTGAAATCCAATTCATATTTATTTTGATTATATTGATGGTTTGTTTATATTGTGAGTATTTATTTTGATTATTTTTTATATGTAGAATTATTATGGAATGATTTTTTTAAGAGAAAGTCATAATCGGGTTCGGTAGTTCGGATAATGTTGATAGTTCAAATAATGTTGGTAGTTCAAGAATTCCAAGTTTAAGACAAAGTCAGTTAGATGGTTTTTTGGGTAATCTTCAAGCGGACCTTGGATTAAGAACTCGAATGATAGATTATGATGCTAATATGAGAGATGAGGTCCGAAGATCATATCTACAAAAAGGACCTTGTCAACCTAGAGGTCATAATTTCCCACAAACTAATATGTCAGGAATTAATCGACGCTTCATTCCCCAATGGTTTGATGAGTTTGATTGGTTGGAGTATAGTATATCTAAAGTTGTGGGGTGATTTGAATGCGTATTTAGATTTCTTATTTGACGATGTATGAGCTGAAATGGGATGTGCCGTGATATGGTACATTCATGCCGCAACTAAGTTGTGGGGTGATTTGAATTTGTAGAAGGTTTTGCAACACGCATAGATTTTTACATACAGACCGTTAAGAATGAAAATTTTTTGAATGCCCAAGAGGTAAGGTGTTGTTGGCCCAAGTACTTATTCATCATAGTACCATCTAACTTTTGTGTTGTATAGCCACCTCTGCTGGATTATTAGCAAATAGTACTCGGTCCATCCCCTGTGTTCGGTTCTGTTTTAAAGCTAATGATTGCTTAGTATGCTTTAATTTGTTATGAATGGATTTGGATGCTCTGAGAAAGGTGGTTTCTGAATTATTTTAACCATAATAAGGGAGGGCTTGTTTAGCCACAAGAAATTGCAAACTATAGTGCAAGCTTCCAACTTTTGCACTTGTTGTTTTCAATTTGATCTGTAAACAAGTAAAGATGAATGGTGTCTCACAGATCATGAACAAAAAATTTCTGGATAAATTGGTTCTCAAGTAAAATTCTAATTTTGTGAGACAGGTACTTTGAGGTGTGGCAAGTCAGGACTTTTTACATTTTCACTTATTCAGAACTAAAACCAGCTAAATTAACATGATGAGTCTAATAGTTTAGCTACTTCCCAACTCTGAGACAATATTTGTTGGTATTGCGGATGCTTCAGCAGAGGGTTTGAGGAATGACCTTGAGCTACTGAGATCATCCTCTGGAAAGCATATTAAACATTTGAGACCATCAGCTTGATATTTTCAATTTTAAAATGTGGAATCTTGTTTGGACCTTTTTTTTAGCCAATCCTGTTTGGGCTTTGCAACTTATAACTTATAAGTGCTTGAATGTTTATCTGTGACAAATATGAATCTTCCTATCATGGACTATGGGACGTTCTTGTATATCAAATTGTGTTTTTCATCATTCATGCACTGTTTGAATCTTCCTATCATGGACTATGGGACGTTCTTGTATATCAAATTGTGTTTTTCATTATTCATGCACTGTTTCTGTCCAAGACGGTTTATTATATAGATAACTTCTTACATTGTATTCAATAGAATGCCTCTAGCTATTTCCATCAGCATGCTAGAATGTCGCTGGCTTTCCAATGTACTTCTTAGCATGCTAGATTTGATGATTGTGTTATCAGACTCCCTGATTAATCATTGGGCTTGCTTGCAGTTACAACTAAATAAAAATCTGATCTGAAAATTGGGGAGTGAGGAGTGAAGAATTAAGCACACTAGGGTTGTTTCAGCAAACCAATTATCAATGAAGCTTGCTGGGTTGAAATCAATCGAGGACGCGCACGAGGAGTCAGTGTGGGCAGTGACATGGGTCCCGTCAACCGAGACCCGACCTGCTTTGTTGTTAACCGGATCACTGGACGAGACCGTGAGGTTGTGGCAGCCAGACGAGCTAGTCAACTGGGGCAAAATGACTGGCCACTGCCTCGGCGTCACTTCAGTGGCAGCTCACCCCTCTGGCCATATTGCCGCCTCGGCTTCACTCGACAGCTTCGTTAGGGTTTTCGATGTTGACTCCAACAACACCATCGCTAGTCTCGAAGCCCCGCCATCTGAAGTCTGGCAATTACGGTTCAATCCTCAGGTACCTTTGCAATTTTCAAAATTTTCTTGGATATTTATTTTTGGGTCCTTTTTGAGCTTGTTAAATTAATTTACTGTTTTGTTGCAAGTTGAATATGTGGTGTTGCTTTACTTGTTTGTATATCTATGCACACAAGTTTGCTTGATTTCTTTTTGGCCTGAGTAATTTTTCTAAAATTAGCCATGGGATTTGAATAACAGATCTGGTTGAGATGTCATTTTCTGAAAAATGTTGTATTTTCCTTGTTGCCTTACTAATAATATCAGACATGCCAAAAGTTGGTATTATGTTAGTTCTTAATTGTTAAAGTGATGTTTCAAGTGGACCAAATTTGAATAAATGGAATGCTTCAAGTGAACATTGATACTCGCTATCTAAAATTCAAGACGGTGTCTGTTGAATTACTCTTATTTTGTATCTGATACTTTGATCCCTTGGGGACATCTGATCTCTGACTGATATGTGTTTCAAACTAGAACCATTTGAAGTTTTGAAGCCACCCCTTTGGTTATATTCAAGTTGATGCTGACTTTTGGCACTTGATCAGGGTACCATGCTAGCTGTGGCGGGTGGGGGAAGTGCATCAGTCAAAATTTGGGACACCACCACATGGAATCTGGTTGCCACATTGTCAATTCCTCGCCCAGAAGGAACCAAGCCCACGGATAAAAGCAGCAGCAAGAAGTTTGTGCTATCAGTTGCCTGGAGTCCTGATGGTAGACGCATAGCTTGTGGCTCAATGGATGGAACTGTTTCTGTTTTTGACACGGATCGTGGCAAGTTCCTGCACCATCTGGAAGGCCACTTCATGCCCGTGAGGTCTCTTGTGTTTTCTCCAGTTGAGCCACGTTTACTTTTCACGGGCTCAGATGACACCCATGTGCACATGTATGATGCTGAGGGGAAAACATTGGTTGGGGCCATGTCAGGACATGCGAGCTGGGTTCTGAGTGTGGATGTCAGCACAGATGGGGCGGCTGTTGCAACGGGCTCAAGTGATAGAACTGTGAGGCTGTGGGATATCAACATGAGGGGAGCTGTGCAGACAATGAGCAACCACACTGACCAAGTTTGGGGAGTGGCCTTTCGACCAGGAGGAATGCCTGGTAGACTTGCTAGTGTGTCAGATGACAAGAGCATATCGTTATATGACTACTCTTGAAGTGGGTGGCTCGACCACGCCGACCAAGTTTGGCGAGTGGCCTTTCGACTAGGAGGAATGCCAGGTAGACTTGCTAGTGTGTCAGATGACAAGAGCATATCATTACATTACTCGTGAAGTGGGTGGCGCGGGGAGAAACAAGAACATGGATAATTAATGTTTGTTGAATGTAACTCACTGCCTTTGGTGTTCTGTGCCAGATTGTTCCTATGAAATTGGTTTGTTTGAGACCTTATTCTGATACCTAAACAAGTGTTGTCTAGGAAATGCACACCTTTTTGTCGGATCATTCACCAATGAATTGGGGAACCCTTTACAACCAAAAAATAAAAGCACACCAAAGAATTTTGGAACTCCTAGAAATGACTTTGCTAAAAATGTGTATTCTAGGCTCCCAACTTTGACCAGTTTTTATTTGGCATATGTGTATTGTGGTCATTTTTCCAGTTGAGCAATTCAATGATCCTTTCTTCCGAAATTGGATATAATTGTATGATGTTTCTTTTAGATCGGTTGTGGATCGGGGTTGCTTCTTGGGTCTTTGCTGGATAAATCAAAATAAACCAGACAGATTTCACTCTCCTCATGTTTTTTCTTTTTTCTTTTTTCGCCTATACGTTTGATGTTGGAGCAAAATTTCAGTGAAGATAGCCTCTACGTCTGTGTAACAGCAAAATCACAGACGCTTTTAACATCGTATCCATCCACAATCCAACATTCCAAACTAGATTTACAGCATTGCTGAAAACTTGATGACTTCACTTGACACAACCCACTGGAAACTCATTCCATCTATGCAGACACAGAGTGAATAGTAAGATTCATCCTCAATTCTATATTTCTCCCAGTAGCAAGCAAAATAGCAACCAAGCAATTGAGCAAGAAATAGGAGTCTCTCTGATTATTATAATAGTTCTTATCATAATCAAACTCAGAAGGCTTCGTGCCAAAAATCAGGGTTGGTGCAAAGAAAACAAACCAGAAAAGGATTTGTGCCAATAGTTAGGGCTTCATGCCAACTAAAAGTTCACTCAGAATCAACACAGTTAGGCTTTGTGCCAATAATTAGAGGTCTCCCAACATTTCTAAACAAGTTAAGGGAGTTTGCTCATCACTACAAGTTGAATGATGCGTAAATAATACGTCTAACCTATGAATACATACATGGTCTCTAAGTCAAACTTACTTTTCCTAATCATGAATTGAGACAAGTTTGAATTATTGAGCTACAAAATTTCGATTCCTTCTCATCACTTGATCTTTAGTCGATGTAGAACTTTATTCCATATATCCTAATGATGACATGACATAGTTTTGGACTAACAAGAGGCATATGCCTCTGCTATTAGAGATAAGCTTCAAGTCTAGGAAATTGGCTTGTTAAACAGGCATCAGCGAAACTATCTCTTGATATAGACAACAACTCTTGTCAGAATTTTAGGATATGCATCCTATATGTGAAGGAACATTCCAACCAAGAGAAAGATCAATTCAATATATATATATTTTTTTCAGTTATAAGATTGTTGAAGCATAAAATTTCGGGTCCTCCAACAAGTAGTCATGTAATCAATGTTGAGAAATAGGACACCGTCTTCACTTGCCACCAATGAGGGAGGAAGGGGTACCTGCAAGAAATACATTGACGCTCAAGTTTGTAAGAGTTCAAGAAGATTGCAGTAGAGTTTAGAATAATATTGCCCTCTTTTCCTCCTTTGGGCAGTGGCGGAGTCAGGATTTCACAATAGAGGGGGCCCTTCACACTTCACAATTTTTTTTATAAAAATAATTCGAATATGAGCCCTAAAGCGCTAACCTGTTAATAAGTTAATACGATACTAACTACTCAGTTTAGCCCATTTCATAATATCATTTCATATTGATTAATCCATTCATTACAATCATAAAGACTCAATAATTTATATTCTAACATATAGAAGAATTACAAAAAAATTTCATAAATCCCAATAAAAACGAAGGGAACAAAAATTCACAAAGCTTAAGTTAAACAAAGAGGAAAGATAGATAAACAAGAAGAAAAAAATTAGGAGTTTTTAGTGCAAATATCATAACTTAACCTAGAATTTAAGGGAGAGTAGAAGAGTGATTAAGAAGTTTTATGGTTAATTTGTAAGAAAAAAAAAACCTAATATATTATTTATTATAGGGTAAATTTTTTTTTTTGGTGGGGGGGTGGTTGTGGCGGCCGGAGACCACTCTTGTCCCTTCATGGCTCCACATAGAAGTCTTGAGCTCCAAGTTCACCCCCACTCTTTAGCTAACCTCAAGCACCATTTGCGATAAAAAGTCAAAGAACAAAGAACAAAACTTGCATTCGTTTGAATTTTTTTTATTTACACAATCAAACATCCAAGCTCACCCCAACTATTTTTTTTTTCAAAACCTTAAAATTCAACCATACCTTTCATAGTAAATTTTTAAAAAAATTAAAAAATTTATTTCAGCATAAACGTACCCCCAAATTCGACGAGCCACCTTCCATGGCATCTCTATCCTTTCTCCTTCCCCACCCACTATCCAATCTCTTCAATCTTGACGAGATCAACTAAAAAAAAAACAAAAAAAAGCAAGAGGATAAGTGCCCGTTTGACATTGCTTATTTGGAGTGAAATTTACATGAAAATATAAATTTACGTCTTTCCGTTGGAACAAGGATAAATAAAAAAAAATTAAATAAAAGATCATATTTACATTCTGTAAATGCAAATGGGATATAAATATGATTTTTACATCCCAAATTTACAATATTGCATTGGGGTTGCTCTTTAGCAAGCTCGCAAGATAAACAGACGGAAGCAGTTGAACAACTTTCACCAACCCCTCAGAATTCATTTAAAATCCCTCGCTGTTTTAGTGCAGTGTGCTGTTGCTCTGTTTCTAACAATGTCGGCTACCTCGAGTTCCCTCATGTCTCTCGCTCCCGCTCAGTCTCTGAGTCAACCCAGAAGGGTAAAACTCGTTCAGTCTCCAACCTCTCTTTCAGTTTCTCTCCCAATTTCTCGTATGCTTTGCCTTAAATCAAATCACCAACGGAATCTCTTCGCATGTTGTTCCCTAAATGTACAAGACAGCGCCGGCCAAGACACACCCATTGAAAAGAGTAATGTTTTTCTCAGACATCCTTGTATTCGATTTGCTTGCTTCCTTTGTTCTCGCAAAACAAATGTTTGATTCTGAAAATGTTGATTTGGGACTTCACAGGATACCCAGCATTTCCTACAGTTATGGATATTAATCAGATACGTGAAATCTTGCCCCACCGGTTAGTGTTTAGCTCATTTACTTGTGGGTTTGTGATTGTTTTTTTCTTCTTAATCTTAATTTTATTTTTATTTTTTCTGTTGTTGATGTGTTTAGTGATTACTTTTGGTTGTGGGATCGTGTTACAGGTTTCCATTTCTTTTAGTGGATAGAGTGATTGAGTACAATCCAGGGGTTTCAGCTGTTGCTATAAAGAATGTGACTATAAATGATAACTTTTTCCCTGGGCACTTCCCAGAGAGACCCATTATGCCTGGAGTTCTCATGATTGAGGTACACTATTTATTCTCATACTGTCATAAGGTTTTTATGCATTTTGGTAATAGACATTTGCAACCATTCTTTTGGGAAAAGAAAAAAAAAACTAATGTCACAAGTTATAACAACTGCCACTTGGTGTTTGTCTCAAATTTGTAAATGTCTTTGCATTTCTAGCGGTTTTTCGTTTGCCGGTTGTGGATATCTATGTTAATTTCTTGAATTGGATTTCATTGATGCACGTGTGTGGTGTCTGACTTATTCTAAATTGGGACATTGTAGTTAGTGGATGAGGACGTAGAATTATACAGGGAGAGTGAAATAGAGATGCGCATTTTTAAGCGCTCTGCGAATGTAGACTATTGATTGATATAGGAAGCTTAGCAAGGGTTTATGTAGGGCTTTCAATGCTTTAAAATACCAAGGTGTATGCCTTTTTAGAATTTAACAGGCTCTCAGCGTGGTTGTTTGTAAATTTGATGTAAGGAATGACGCTTTTTTGTCAAAGCTAGATTTTGCATCAACTAGCCATTGTCTTATAATTATAATATATTTGCACTTAATATAAGCTCTGAAATTTACAATGCTGTATTGCCATTGTTTTTCAATTTAAAATGGTGCCAATCCAATAATGCAAACTTCAATCTTTTTCCAATGAGCAAATGTTTTATGCTCATAAAAGGATTGATTTTGCATCAACAACGACATGAGATGAAACTTTCCTGAATGATTAGTCCATGTGCTTTTGTGACTTCTGGCTGCATAAGAAAGAATTAATTTGAAGGAGTTAGCAGGGCAAAAGGGAGACAAATGTTTCTAGTTCAACCCATGGGATACACATCGGGACTGATTTAAAAGAGAAGTTGACATTAATTCTCTTGCACAGGAGTGATTTTGCTAGTGCAAGTAGCTTTTTACCTTTAGAGAAAAGCACTGATCATTTAATGGTTCACTGTCCAGTGGCTTTAAATGGATGGAGAAAGCTTTCTTGGGAGGATGAGTTTGTCCTTTAGAGAAAAGCACTGATCATTTAATGGTTCACTGTCCAGTGGCTTTAAATGGATGGAGAAAGCTTTCTTGGGAGGATGGGTTGAGTTTGGTTATCCCATGAGGTTGTTACGCTTTATTAAGTGAGAGGTTCAAGGGCTTTGGTGGTAATTTTGATAGAAAGAAATAGAAGGATTTCTGAATTGTGCAATGATTTGGGTCTGGAAGAATTGTGGGAAAGAGTTAGATTTTGGTCATCTCTATGGGCATCTGTTTCGTCTGAGTTTAGAGGTATAATACTCTTAGAGATAGGTTGGCAGCTGTGAGTTTGCAAGCCGAGAAAGCAGTGTTGTTTAGTATTTAGCTGTTTTGTTCGTATTCTGCTGTGGACTACTTGTCCACCTTCAGTCTGTATTTGTATTTTTTTACTAAGAATTTATTTCTTTAAAAATGATAATGCAAGAGTTCTCATATAACAAACAATGTTTTAAAGTATATTATATTACGTATATATTGTACATGAATAATAAACCAAGTTCAACAAATATATAAAGTTCCTGGTAGGTTGGGTTGGAGGAATATGGGTAATATGCTGAGAAAGGATTGAGCAATCAAAGAAAAAAAAAACAAAATAGATTAAAGAAAAGAAGAAGAGAAAGAGAGAGCCACCAGCTCTTAAGGTATAATGCAGCTCAATGAAAATGTATCAAGAGGTCATTCATTGTGTCTAGGTATCTGTAAACCTATCCATAGATTCATTTGCCTTATTTTTGTGAAGTCCATAAATTGGTCATCGTTGTATGGTTGCATGCGTGGGTGGGTATATGTATTCCAAACTCTTTCGGAGGACAGCTAAATAAAGTGCAAATTTAGTTGTCTGCAGCAGAAGATTCATGTTATTGAACTCAAGTTGTGTGGATGTTCAGCCAAGCTAAGTTGGTTTAATTTTTCTTTTAGTGGAAGTTAAAGGGGTGGTCTTTTTTAAATCCAATGCAGCGGATTAATTGGAATTCTGTGAATTTTCACTCATGATTGATTCATTTTCCCCTTCCCTGTTCTTGTTTAATGAATGTAATGGATGACCTTGAGCATATGAGCATGATGCTTATCATAAATGAGCAAGCATGTTTGAGAGAAAAAAATTCCATTTAAACTAGTGCTTTGTCATTGGGCCTTGGCTCATGTGGCAGAGGTTTGGGTTGGTCTTAAATCTGAAGTTTTTCATGCTCATATTTTAGCGTCCAGAAAAGTTACTAAATGATTAAGGTAAAATAAATTTTGTGTTTATGGAGTCATGGAGATTCTCCAGATATTTTGTCATGATGAAGCATTTGTGCCTTTGCTAGAGTAACTGAGCTAGTCTCCTCGATTTTGTTTCAAGAAATATTTTAGACCATTTGACTGATATAAAGGGCTGTTTGCAAGACCCATTGGCTCAATAGTTTAGACCAAATTAGAAGTTCAGCTTCTCAAGCCTCGTAGTTTTATTTCACTACTACAGTCTACATGTAACATTTTTCAAAAGAAAATGGCCTTCAAACTTCACAGAAAATTTCTGCTCTGTGAAACTTTTCCATTGGAAAAGATGCGCTTGGATTCGTGAATAGATGGACTAGCAAATGGAATTTTAGTTTTGCTCCTTTAGGAAGGCAATGGGTCCAACCTCCCCATGATTTGATTGGCAATGCCCTATTTGCTGCATTCTATTCTGGGTACCATGGGATGGGACTAGGGCTGTGGGGTTTTGTGTTGTGTAGGATACATTTGACTTTAATCCCCTTTCCTATGATGAGGAGAAGATAAAGGCAAACTGGAACAGTATCACAAATATTTATGTTATCTATTTCCTATGGCATTGGTTATTTTGTACAGGGCCTTTCTGTCTAGTCTGTCTGCTCCAAAACAATTGTGGAACAGTAACACCAATTAGTTATCTACTCCTGTGGCATTGGTCATTTCAAGCAGTTTTAAACTTCAAATGGTGCATGCTGATCAAATCAATCAACCTTCGGTGTTTAACTGAGTTTGCTACATGTTCCTTTCTGTAGTTCTGGCAAAATGTCTTCTGAACATCCAACCATTATGATTTCCTTTTAAGGTTCTAATGTTAAATTTTCTCAAGATAATAATAGTAGTGTTGCCATAATTCTTTTCCCTTTGTTATTTTGTTTTTGTTTTCTGGGTTAAGCCACCTTCTTTTGGCTTCTAAAAGATGCAATTTGCACTTCAGCTCCAAACTTCCAGTAAAATGATGATAATCCATAGAGAAAGCAAGAAAGATGCACAGGATAGTAATAAAAAGAAATAGGCATGCACAGTGCAATGGATAGAAGTTTTGTGTTTCGGTGTTATGGCTTAGTTCCATTAGATGGTGTCTGGGTAACCAGTAATGCAGAGGAAGACTATACACAATGAACATAAAACAATAGCAAGTTAGTAACTACATTGCTGAACTTCAAAATGATAACTATGTTGCTGAATCAGGAAAATTGAAATTAATTGAAGAACCACTCTGATTCCAGCTGATTCAAGACACATTTTCAAGTGATCGTTTGGCTTTTGAAAGCAGAAGAATCTTCTCCTTTTTGAAATGTTACTGAATTTCAATTCAGTTCAGGTCTCCGTGATTGATGTGTCATGTTGACAGTTTCATTTCATCCATTTTCTAGAGCTGATATTTCTTTATACAATGTTCAAAGTTGATTAAATTTTCTTCGGTGAATTGGTTAATGTTTTGAGTTTTTTACTTTAATTAAGAATCCTCTTCTAGCGTCCTGCACTCCTCCTGTGAATGCAGCAAAATTGTAAAATATTTATTTTGGAGTGCAGATGGCTAAAAGAGGAGTGCACAAATCGCTACCATTTTTTAAACCTCTTCAATATATTTGTTTCTTTCCTTATCAATTATCTTTCTTATGTGGGACAAAGACAGAATAGAAGAGATTTTTCAAAACCTCAAGGCATATAATCATCTATACCCTCTTTTGCCTCAAATTTATATTGATTGTGGTGCATGCACTTTGCTAAGTGCTGACAAAAGTGGTTTCTGGGCTCAGGCAATGGCTCAAGTGGGTGGCTTGGTGATGCTGCAACCCGAAGTGGGAGGCTCTCGTGACAGTTTCTTCTTTGCAGGAATTGATAAAGTGAGGTTTAGAAAACCTGTGATTGCAGGAGACACTTTGGTAATGAGAATGACACTAGTTAAGTTCCAAAAACGGTTTGGAATAGCAAAGATGGAGGGTAAGGCATACGTTGGAGGTGACTTGGTCTGTGAGGGCGAGTTCTTGATGGCAAGTGGGAGTGTTTGATGTGCTGAGTATGTCTTAAGATCCATTAATATGCAATTTTTTCTCCTTTTTCTCTTTTTGTTTGTTAAAAGTCTTTTACTACCTTGATGTTGAGGATTTGCTTGTCAGTTTGGACTTTCTGCGTCGATAAAGATATTATGCTTGATAGTTTTGCTGAACCCATCTGATCTTGGACTTCCTTGGACATCTTGCTTTTTAGAAACCCCTTTGTCTGTCCCTTTCCTCTAAGAAAATAAGCAAGTGTTAACCAAAAGTCAGAATCACAAGGGGAAGGTCTAAATCCTATCCCTGAATTAAGTGCATTTCAACATGCTCTGGCAACAGTAAAACTTAACTTTAATTCTAACAAGTTGGGCTTCTCTCTTACTGTTTGCTTAGATTTCCAGGACATTTTGAATTAAGGATAGTAAGATTGGAGTCTTTTTTTTTGGTTAATGGTAAGATTGGAGTCTAAGTATACAAAGAGAATACCGATTCTAAGTAGAAGATTCAAGGAGCAGAAATCTAGGAAGAGATAAAAAGAGTTGTTATAGCTTTGTTTTCCTAAAAAAATCAATTGTGCAAGTTGAGATAGGAAGTCAATATTGTACACTTCTGACAACAAATGCCTTAAAGGTTCAGTGCATTGTGCGACCCTCTTGCCTCTAAAGCTCCCATCAGGCAGCTTTTCAAAACAACTTTTTCCAAAAGTTGCATGCTTGAGTCTTTACAAGCACCAACTTTTTTGGATACCAAAATTTAATTCCCATTACAAATCTACTGCAAACCTTTGATTAACATTTATCAATCTCATAAGCTCATTTAAGATTCAGCATCACCACTTTCCATTTTCTCTAAGATCCAGATGCTACCATCTAGGCTCATTCATCTGAATTTACCCTAATTAGAGTACTGGGTTTTAGGGTTTTCCGGTTGAGAACGCCGATATAGCTTCTTTGGCTGAGAGCTCCAATTGACGCAAGGGGATCCCTTTTCAAGCTCCCAATGATGTGGTTGATGAGTGCAGGTGCCTTTATCCTCCACATAATATCAAAGTGGACTCATTGGTATTAGGGTTTGTGTGTCCTTTATGCACTCATCATAACTTCGCCCCCCATTTCCATCTCTTTTTCTAAGTTGTTAGGAAACATCAATTATTACTTGTGAATATAATGGAATATCTTGTTCCACAACCACGTTTTGAGCTTTTGTGGATTTGTGGGCACACCTAGGCATGGGGGTTTTGGGGCTCACAGCTCTCTCTCTCTCTCTCTCTCTCAGGTGTTGAGAACTATTTTCTCACTTTGTGAAGACATGATGTGTTTTGGTAATTCACTGTAAATGCTTTTGGAAAGCATCCCCTTTCTATTTTTTCTTTTGTTTTTCTTCTTCTCTTTTGAAGATTCTCTTGAAAAGCAACTGATAAACACAATCAAACCATCAAAGACAATTGCCTAACTACACAAAAAAAAAAAGTAGTTTTCTCCATCAAAGTCCACCCTTTCCCCATAGATCGAGCCTCAAACTTTCCCTTTAAAAAGCAAAGATATTACTTTAATACAAAGCTTAAAAACAGTAACTGATGTTCTTATGGTAAAACCAGGGAACGCTTGTATATAATTGGTAGCACTAAAAATGCATTATTTGAGGGCAGAACTTTTGGCCCAAACAAAAATGGCACTGACCTAAAGTTCCTTTTCAAAAAATAATATTAATAAATATTCATTTATATTATAACACGTGACCATACTAAATAATATTATACTATACTATAATTACTCAAGAGAAACCTGGGGCCAATACAAATTGAATTAATATAGGCATCCAGATTAGTAATGAGAAAATTGGCAACTTCTTCTTCTCTTTTGAAGATTCTCTTGAAAAGCAACTGATAAACACAATCAAACCATCAAAGACAATTGCCTAACTACACAAAAAAAAAAAGTAGTTTTCTCCATCAAAGTCCACCCTTTCCCCATAGATCGAGCCTCAAACTTTCCCTTTAAAAAGCAAAGATATTACTTTAATACAAAGCTTAAAAACAGTAACTGATGTTCTTATGGTAAAACCAGGGAACGCTTGTATATAATTGGTAGCACTAAAAATGCATTATTTGAGGGGTGAACTTTTGGCCCAAACAAAAATAGCACTGACCTAAAGTTCCTTTTCAGAAAATAATATTAATAAATATCCACTTATATTATAACACGTGACCATACTAAATAATATTGTATTATACTATAATTACTCCGAGAAGAGAGGGTGACTCAAGAGAAACATGGGGCCAATACAAATTGAATTAATATAGGCATCCAGATTAGGAATGAGAAAATTGGCACAAAAAAAAAAAAAGATTAGTAATGAGAATTGACGATGATATTATAAAATTAAATCACGACAAAATAATGAATAAAAAAAAGGTGGAAAGCGATTATCACTTGTATATTAAACTATGATAGAACATGTTAGAAGGTTCATGTGACAATACAACACACTTTTCCATCAAGGACAATTTAGTTCACCATTTTTAACTATAGTGTGGAATTAAAGTTTCCACACAATGAGTAAATACTAATCATGGTTAGATATTTTTTTTTTAAATAAACCACAAAACTATGGGTTCCCTAGGCAGCCAATGTGTACTAAAATAAAAAGTTAGGCCGTCATAGGGTATAAGTGTAATCGTCTTCATATGGCTCGAATTTGTTTTGAGTTTGGGCTTGCATAGGCCTGTAAATCACTGAGATCCTATACCCTAGATTCCTAAACATAAACTTGTAATTATAGTAACACCACGTAACAGTATTACATTTAAATCCAAAAAATTTCTAATCAATAATCCGAACAAAGATTAGTGTACAACGATGTATGATTTTATTGCACACTGTTTAAGGCTCTACTCATCCCTTAAAGCAATGGTCCTAGTTGCCCAATTTACAAGTCTCCAAGGATCATCCTTATAAAAAATTTAAAAAAAATCTTAACCAAAATTGTGATCATAAATGTTCATGCATATATAGCGCTTGTGATAGACATTGAAATATCATCACGACAATCAAATAGTTAAGTGGTTATCCATTTGACTATTTTTGCAAGAATCATCTTTGAATGAACAGATAAATAATTACCCAATTTGGATCATTTAACTATAATATCTAGGAGGAGCATTTTTGCTCACCGCCCTTCTCAATACTTGACACGTGTTCATAAGCATAACCATGGTTACATAAATCAAAGTAAAAATTTAACTATAGTTATGTCTATAGACACGTGTGAAGTATTGAGAAGAGTAGTGAGCATACACCTTGGGTTAAAGTGATGAGCAAAAATATTGTCTCATTTTCTAGAGTTCTTTGTGTCTTTTGAGGAGAACCATCCTTGAGAAAATATCATCAAAGTCATAAATCATCTAACCATTTTATTATCATTACAAAATTTTCATTGTTTATTGAAAATAATTTGTTCATGGTTAGATGATCAAATGATAGTGGACTTCGTTGATTTCTTATCAATCGATATTGAAATAGAGACTTAACCAATAGAGGGTTTGGATGGATTCATTTTTACAATTTTGAATACAAATATTTTAATTACTAACGATATTATTCTTTGTTTTGATTGACGGGAGGGAATTTAAACTTGTAATCTCTTTCAACATTTAAAAAAGAAAAAAAGAGTATATTTAAATTAAGAGTTAGTTGATAGGAATTCCTATTATTAAGGAGCAAAAAAATAAGAAAGAAAAATGCCAGAAGTTGATGAAAGGGAAAGAAAATTGAGGGTGGTTGGCCCACTGATGTACATTGTCCACCCACCAGTGTACATTTTACTTTGTCTAGGTTCAGCTCGCAATCGATGATGTCTGTCTTCCTTCAGTGTTCTTACACACTCCATCTTCTAATAATGCAACGACAACCAAAAAAAAAAAATTGAAATTATTATTCCAACTGTCGAAAGAGAAGAACGTATGCTCTTTTTATTTATTTATAAGGTTGTCATCAAATCCACTAAGGTATAGCAGAACACACAGCATTAGAAATTACGAGAGATTATAGTAAAAAACAGAAAAATGGTCACACCTCTTGTTGCTTTTGTCATCAAAATACAAATATCTCAAATCAAGTCGTGAAAAAGAATGATCTGGAAAAACCTTGAGGTAATTTCAAGAAATTGAGGTTGTAGAAAAAAATTACAAGTGATTATGGGCAGGTAGCATTTTGATGGTGAAATTTAAAAGTTGGGAAAACAATCATTTATAAATTAAATTCAATGTAACACGTGGCAGAATCGGGACCGTGGACCATTGGAGGGCCCACATAAGGTCG